AGCATCCACGCCATTCGGTACGCCGTCGTGTCACGTTCGTTCGTTCGTGCACGATCCCTAGCCAGCTAAGCAATCATCTCGCACTCCGATTTGGTCCCGAAATATATCTCGTAATTTGGACGATCAACTATCGTGTTTTGCTTTGCCTTTGGTCTACGTGGAACGAATACTATAGAAGTTGTGGGTATTAGATCTTGCGTTAGTATACTTCGTACTATCCGTGAACGTCAATACCCTTAGTCTCTAAAAATGTATTCTAACACCTTATTTTTACACTAATCAGTGGATAGTTACGATGATGGAATCCCACATATTATTTGTACAGAATTGAATACACAGGTATGGAAGTATGTCTCAATTTCCACAACAGTGCATACCATTTAAAACAGTTTTTGATGATAGCCCATAGTGGAACAAAAGTTATTCACCTCAAGACCATTTCGTCAAAATTTGCAGCTGTAAAAGTGTGGAAGCCTGTGGTATTAAGGTAGACAATAAGTCTGGAACAATTAAGAGATTTAATGAATGTAAACTTTTCTCTCCGACGATATCACATTAAAGCTGTACTGATTTGGCATTTCGAAAACAATCTTCATTGTCGATATAAGTATAAAACTTGGGCACTGTGGTAGAGTATAACTCCATCATAGATAAGAATTTATTTTGATAAGTCATACAGTGTTATACAGTAATATTAAGTGATGACGTTTCCAGCACAAGCTATTACTCATAATCATATCAAGTTACTCACACAACTTTTTTCCTTCATTTATATACATGTGTGGAATTGACCAGATATTTGAATAAAAATCAATTTGTGATAATGTACATTCAGAAATAATAATATGAGTGTTATTGATCAATTACAATCAGATGGGAAATAAGGCGAGTGTTTTTATAGTCATAATAAGTAAATTGTTAGAATGTTGTGATGTGCTTGAATTGAAATCTTCATTGTCATACGACACAGTTCAGAAATAACAATTAATTATTATTATCATAATTACTCTAATATATTTCCTGTGGTGAAGATCACCTATATCAGTTTTAAGAAGTTAATTAAAGATGCATGAATCAGTTTGCAATTATTTATTCGTACTACTCCTGAATAGTCTGTTTTTGGAAGACAACGCTACTTCTATATGTAGTAAGTAAACTATTATGTGATAACGTAATGAATTTCGTAGGAAGAAGTGAAATGATAGATGCAGAAGACGAGTGAGGTACACTGAAACATAACGAGCCATAAAACGGATCACTTTTAGATGGTCTTACTAATGTAATATACCTCTACAAGATGAACAGCTTTTTATCGACCTATTAGTTTTCACTGAGATCACATAGAGTAACTAATTCTCCTCACACATACACGGTTAGGTGTATTCTAGTAAGCTGTCTAAGCATCCCTGTTTACTTTGATGCATTTTCGCTGAGAATGAACATATCGCTCACGTGTCAACAGTAAGCATTTTGATAATTGGGAATACTCCTACATCTTGATATACACATGAAGACTACTCAATGATCACTAAGCAGAGACAGCGCATAATAAAAAGAATTCCCCAAATGTGCGTAATCTATGAGAGATAAGTGAGATGGGGATTATTAATTTGAGTGGTTTGGAGGTATTTTGCTTTTAGCCCCTTCATAACAATGAGATATGTTTCTTCCTGTCTGGCATACTTATTAAATGAATAGAACTCGGTACACGCTGAACAATATATTTACAATAAAATTGCCTTATCTCTTATTTTCAAGAGTTGGTTTGTAAGGATTAAATTTGTTTTTACAAGTTTGACCACGGATATCAGTTAGAGAACCATTGAAAACCAGGAAGTACTGGACAGCAGTACGCACTCACCATCTTATTATTTTCAGTGGTAAAACCTGCCCAAAACCCGATCAGTGAATAAATAAATAATAACCTACCATCGTGTGCTACATCACAATAAATTACTCCTTTGTGTAAAAATCTAGCCAACTGAAGAAAATTCACTTAATCTAAGCAATGTGAAGACGATACCTCAAACGCCTTCATAATGACATCACGCTATTGGGTTTACTGAGAAACTCCTACAACATTTGAACAGCACACAGGAACGAAACGACGAACGGAATTTTGCCTAACACTTTGTTACACATCCACTTAACGTTTGGTAGTGACTATCATCTGGATATTGACATTTTACAATGTGGCTACAAAGAAAATGCCTCACAAAGCTACAAATAAGGTGAGAAATAGGAAATGTGGAAGCAATCGGGTTTCAGGTGGTTTTTCAATAAATACGATTGTGAACACTTTCCTATCTATACGATTACAACATAATACACATGACTACCCAGTACATCACCGTAGAGCCAATGGTAACTAGGAGTAGGCAGGACAATGCATAAAGTCATACAGATCTTGGCATAACACTGACCTGTGAAGCTTACGACCACAATTGAGACTTCGTAATACGTAATTCTCCAACAATCACAACATGTAGTTCAGGACTATCAGTTCAACGTCAGAAACACTGATAAACGTATTGTTTGTCAAAACTTATCGTTTCGCACTGTGTTGATTTAGTGACTGCCTCTTCCTCCAGCCTTAAATATTTCAAATTGAAGAGCATATATATGAATATCCTACGAGAGATAAGAGGGAGACAGAATGGCAAGATGAAAAGACAACGGAATTATAATTGATACGACAGATCATAAGAAGCAAATGCATCCGCGCCTTTGTGAACGATTTTGAGCCATATCACCAACTATTGGTTCTTGGAATCCTGGGGATCTCAACCAGGTACTCTACACCTCTATACATGTCTCAAACTAACTGCTAGAGATTTAATGCACTGATGACCACCATTAACTCTTTCCCAGCGAGACCCTATGTCAGCTAACGTTTCCTGTAGAGGAGTGTGATTGATGGCTAGGCATGCATAATACACGTCGTAGCCATCTCAGTCGATCTAGCTTCACAACCTCATCGACTAACTTTCCCTCCTCACTGAACACTCGACGCATGACCTCAATACTGCTCACCTTACTATACAACCTGAGACGGGTTATAAAACGCAGACAGGTATGATTGAGACAGCTAGTCTTTTTATGGCTTCCACTCCCAATGTCCATGTCTCACAACCATACTGGAGGACGGAGCAAACTACTGAGCAGTACGCAAGACCTCTGATCGAAAGCCAGCTATAGCATCTACACCAGAGATGATGTACGTTGGCAAAGCCCAACGAGTCTTCTGTATTCGCGCTGAGATTTCGTCAGAAATCACTCCACTGGGCCTGATGCAACTCCCCGAATAGATGAAGAGGTCAACCACTCCCCTCCCATTCTCTAAGCTAGGAGTCAATGTAGTCCAGGAGCGAATCACATGCCAAACATTCGAAGATTACTGCTCAAGAAGTTCAGAAGACTCTGCATTCTGTCAGAGCCTTCACCCAGGAGGACTATATTATCTGCATATTCCCAGTCAACGAGATTACTTCCTGGCAACAAGTCAATCCCTGAGTTGCTGAAGTTGGTTGGAATCAAGTTAATTAGTACATCTATGATGAAGTTAATCAGAAATTGGGGCAGTGGGCATCCTTGACGGACACCACTTCAGATGACAACTCTCCATATGCTACTTAATTTGTTGCGTGAAATTTTCAGTGCAATGCATTTTTCTCAGCCAAAAGCTGTCATTGTACCTCTCGGCCGATGGGAATCGAATACCGCTTTTAGGATAAGAAATATGACGATTGTTGGACGCCGGTAATTATGTCTACGTTTGAGTACCTATTGAAGGATGGTGATATGATCAATACAACCTCTTTCTGGTTTTCTCGTGAATAGGATATACACACAGGTTCTTCGTCCCTCACTGAGGTTACTAAGGTTGTCACTAGTCGAGGCAAACCAGCAGGACTCAAAGGAATGACTGCAGAGTTATTTAAGTACGGTGGAGACAGTATACTGTCTGCGTTAACTAAGGTACTAGGCAGTGTCTGGGAACCAGAGTCAGTCCTGCTGGGTTGGTGTAATTCATTGATTGTCCCGATATACAAGAAGGGAGACAAGTCTTCCTGTGATAATCTTAGGGGGATGAGCTTGACTAATATGGTATCTAAAGTTCTAGGCTCAATAATAGTGCGCAGACTAAGTGGTGCTCGGGGGAAACAAACATGAGAGAACCAGGCAGGCTTTAGACCAGGAAGAAGCTGTATTGATCATATCACCAACCCTCGGTATATTCTGAAAAATAGGCATACTCACCGGCGTCCAACAATCGTCATATTTCTTCACCTGAAAGCAGCATTCGATGCAGTCAACCGAGATGTACTATGATGGTATTTGACTGTGAAGAGAACGGCGAGAAAATACATTGCACTGATCAAGGCACTCTCCTCGAACTCACGCAGTCAGCCACGTAAGCGCTTACGGCGAGTTGTCATCTGAAGTGGTGACAACCACTGTTGTCCGTCACGGATAGCCACCAGTGTCTCCGTTTCTATTCAATTTCATCATAGACGTACTGATGGAATTTACCATAACCGACTTCAGCGACTCACAGATTGACTTGTTACCAGGATGTAATCTCGTTGACTAGGAATATGCGGATGAAAAAGTCATACTAGGTGAAGACTCTGACAAAAGGTGGAGTCTTACGAACATCTTGATCAGCAATTTGATTCCCCATTCATCGCGGTAGAAGTGAAGTGGAAACACACCAAAACAAAGACACCGGAAACATGCACGAAAATTTGAATGTCCAGGTTAATAGACAACAATGCGAGTGAATACACCAAAGCTTTATGTGTGAAAACATTGTATACAAAATCAATGACACAAAAACGGTTCAAAAAGTCAATTTACAACATCACAAATGATGAGAATGTCGCACTGTTTTACGAAAAGTTTATACACAAATGTTACACGACGTTCAAGTTGAGATCTTTGACAACCGGGATAGGATTCAGTTTTCTTCAGTATCTGATCAATAGACCCTGTCTTCCTTAGGTGCTGTTCATTGTATGCTATTATAATGAAAAGAGAAAAGTTTGTATTAAATAACATCTAAAACATCACCAATGCATATGAGAGAAAAAGATTATATATCCAGTTATATTACTCAGTGTGTCTAATGACATCTCAACAATAAGGAAATTGGTTTAAGAGAAGTATGTTAATACGCATATCCAAGCATCCAAAATCAATCAGTACCTACAGTCTGACGATTATATTAGTTAGTTACTTACTCGTTGTTATAACACGCACATCACTCTCAAATCCTTAGCTGTTGGATGAGTAGTTTAATGTCACATCCTCGGAACTCGACATACATCCGACACTCTCTTCAAAATCTCTGATAATAAACCTAGATATATTGAGTGGTATCAAGCGAGTTTACCCTAAGGTAATGTCATTTAGGTCAATGGTCACATTACACATGCACTTACAAAGCAGTTTCCAAAAATCTAAACAGATACGTTGTTGCAAGATGATAGTGATAATGAAGATGACATAGAACTACTATACAAAATAAGTCCACACAACTACAAAGACATTTACAAAATACCTTCCGTGAGGTGGAAGACGACCATCACAATATTAAATTCCACATCTCAATTTGTGTGTAAAATTCAATTATCATGCACCAAAGAAAACTACGTGAGGTGGCATGAATTGACTCAATCGACACTTAGAAACAACACACTGCGAATATTTCCATATACTACGTACATTACATCAAAATCAAGTCATAAGCAAGAATTCTGCATCCAACATTACACAGCTCTTATTCTTCTATACTTGGAGAAATAATAACTAATGGAAACGTTCTACTATGTCGTCTTCTGCCTGTGATAACGTACACCAGAAATTAGAATGTAAAAAGGCCTCCTTAAGATAATCGTAAATTCAAGTTATAACTGAAAATGACGAAAACAAAAGAACAACTTAGCAAACCGATAATTGCATGTAAATTCAATTAAAATGAGAAAATAAACCGTAAATGGAATGTGGGGCACCAATCTTCTTACCTGAGATTGGAAATCAGGAGTTAACTAGCATCAAAACAACAATCCAAAAACACTTGGCATCAGTGCATGCTAACCGCTGAAGGCAGGAGACTGGCAAATAGAATCATCACCCAATTTCTTCTAAGCAATATGATGAAACCTCCAAGTATATGGGTTTATCAGGTTGTTTCCGCGTCACTCGAACAGATGGTTTTGTCATAATACTTGGTAAGTAATGGCCAACGCTCATCGACTTTGTTGAATGTGCAAAAAATACCTCCATAACCGGACGATTCCCACATTCAAAATTGGAATATACTCCAGCTATCCCAGCAGACTTCTCTGTATCCGATGAAAGAAATTTCGAGTTTAGAAACCCATCAATGAGAGATGATTGAACTGCATCTGGAACACTGACTGACGAACCAGTGAATCGTTCGGCAGAACGCTGAGCAAGCTGGGTTCTTACTAACTGCTCACCGGTACCAGAAGTGGTAATACCAACTCGAGAGAATGGGCTAAGTTCTTCGGCCCAGCAACCGCACCCGTATATGCATGCCTGGCCGACACGACCTTCATATTTCATTGCGATGCCACCACTAGACACCGCAGAAGCAATATTCCCTTCCAAGTCAACACATACAGCACCCACGGTATCAAAGCGAGATCTCTTGGATTCACACAAATAGCTATCTTCAGATGTAGAATGGGTGGGGTTCGCATTTTCACCTGTCTGTTCATAGAAGCTTAGCCAGCTTCTGTACTTCTCCCACGATAATTGTGAAGCTTCCGTGGTGAGATCACAGTTATCAATAGAATATCCTTTCGAAGCTGCCCAGTGATGAACCCCATCACCGACAAGTACAGATGGCGGGACACGTCCAAGTTCGCCCAAAGGGCAATCGATCTGTGATTGCAGAAGAAGTCGTGCGACTTTTACGGGATTTCGTATATTTCGAACGGCTCCAACTCCAGCAAACCGACGCGCAGAAGCACTCATTATTCCTGCGTCGCACTCAACAAACCCGTTTATAGTTAGATTACTGCCGATTCCTGCATTGGTCAATGGGTAGTCTTCTAAGTAGGCAACAGCAGCCTCTACAGCATCCACAGCATGCTTACGTTCAACAGTCAGAAGCTCTGAGGCAATTAAACAAGCTTCAGAACATAATCTATTATACTTCTTCTCATTAGATTTTGAATGGTATCCTGCACCCGCATGGACAACAACACACGCCATGAAATGATACTACAAGATTATTCCGTTGAAGTCCTTGAAATGAAACAAAACAAACAATAGTAATCATAATAATAGTAATAGACAGTAAGGAGAAGACGATGTGAAGCAATTATTCAAGTCTGCATACAAATCGCAGTAATTTCTTCACTAACAGGTCAGCGGAACTACTTTCAATCACCAAGAGTCAAACTGAATTGAATTGTTGAAAGAGTCGTTTACTTCAATACACACCTTATGTATACATGACCAATTACAATACACCACTGTATTATTCTGTTTCTGTCTGTCTATCTGTTTTCAACATAGGACTTTGCACCGATGTTCAGCAGTTCAAGTCGCTACACTGCGTGTAGCACACAAAGCAAGAAAAGTAGAAGAAATGCAAAATAGACAGTAAACAGGGAATTATTCAGTTTACACAACTGTATAGATAAACCTAGAAAGCAATGATATGTAACTGTATCCGGGAGCTCAGGCAGTTTCCAAACACATGAATATCAAAACTTGTACAGAAAAAGTGCGCATATATCCACATTTATTTATTGTAGAATTGGAAATTAATCACAAGAACAACCCAAAGATGGAATTCATAGTATTGCACACACATCGACACTTGAGAATGTTGGTTGTCAACCACGCCCTAAACACAGAAAACCACTTTATTCTGTCTTTTGTCTTTCAAAAAGAATATTTTCACAGTGAACCTCATTCGATAGGCTCAACGCTGATATTGTCTTAACAGCATCGCCGTTACTCTGGATTACACTTATTCCCTCTACATTTCACCCTCTTGGTTGATTGATGTAGTATTCTTTGTTTTACAGTTAAAACAACTAGTCAAGTTAACCTACTATCACACCATTTGAAAAGTATGTCAAGAAATCACATATGGAAGATGAATTTTAATATAACATACTATCCAGAAAAGGGGAGATTTACAACGAAACCTCTCTCCCTTTGTATGCATTTATTGTAGCGAAAGAGATGAACATGACTAATAAACAGGTTGATCAACGTATAACATTGCACTTGAGTACATTCACTTAAATTGTTTCACCCCCACAGACAAGGGAAGGGAACAGAAACTGAATTATACGAGGTGTGCAAGAGAGCATCAAAATAAGATTAGTAGAGATACTCAGAATTCCGAAGGTTATGCGAAGGAAATCCACCTACACATCTGGGCTTGATTTCCAACCATGTCATCATAAGTCTGTAGCCTGAAGGCCCTAGGATGGGCGACATTTGATTTTTCAGGCTACAAGACTAAGTGGATCGGTGTTAGGTTTGGTCCCACCACCCGTGAATTTTTCCAACGCAACCGCACATCATCTGACATTTCCCATTGAAGATCACAATGATGTCTAACATGTGTCCTGACCATGTTGACGGATCTGCGTTCATCATTTCCCCGACTCATTTTCTTCCCTTAACTAACACTATGTCTAATCCCAACACCACCTACTGTGTCGCGTCACTTTGAACAACCAACAAGACGGAGAAACCTATAGACACATACTTGCAATTTTCCAACAGGTGCTCTCAGTGATAATAACTCAAGCGTTGAGTAGAACAAAGAGAATTGCTGCCTAATATATGTGCCTGATAACTCACTGCCGCCAAACTAGTCCGTTGTATTGGTGTCCAGATTGCGTCACCATCCAGTCCATTAAGGCCAGTATCACTTCCCAACGAAACCATACATCCATGGAAACTTGTAGCACAACACCTCCTCTGGTAATGAATTCATTGTATGACTCAACTCAGTTGCTCTTGAACTCTTTAAACTGGAACACAAATTTATATACAAGATCGTGAACCACAATTGTGGAAAACTTAATGACACAGCGTAGGTCAGAGTAGGTGGGAATGGTACGGAGTAAGTGGTCCACAAGCTCAAAGTCGAGTGCATTCAGTCAATGAACTGAATTTAAATAGTCACCAAGTTTGACTAGGTAAGAGGTTCAAATCAGTTCATAGAGAATCATGGATAAGGCCCTAAACTTGATATTAAATACTATAGAAGGAGGAAATACACAGATTCTGGATGTATTTGCTCTAATGCAAATTCACTACTGACAGTTGACTGTAAGCAAATTGTCAAAGAAGTACTTAGTAATACTCGAACCACATTGTATTATCCACCTATGGAATAATTTAGGTTTAAAATTCACACACTTGTAGACATCCAAGAAATTATACTCTTTAAAACCATTGACAATATGTGTTCAGCATTTGTGTCTCTTACGTTTACACAACAGAGGAACATATCTGGTCAGTATATGACTTCAACCTATATTCGCAAAACTAACGAATTCCCTTGAAACTGCCTAAACATAATTCTTTGCAAAACCATTATTAAAAGCTCACTCTGACAAGCAGCACAACGAATCCACATCAAAGTAAGCTGGGTGAAAACTAACTCCCAAAAACCATCCATTTGATACCACCTGAGTTGACTGACGTAAATGGTAGCATACAATTCCATCGGTCGGTTTTCGACATAGAACTTTGCACATATGTGCGGCAGTTCAAGTCGCCACACTCCATGTAGCACACAAAGCAAGAGAAGAAAGTAGAAGAACTGCATAATATAGACAGTAAACAGAGGTGTGAGACAAAGGAATAGTAATAACGGAGAACAAAACAGTTTAATTGGAAATCATAAGTCACAAGGAGTGGATGCATCTGCGCCACTGAGAACGATTTTGAGCCATGTCACCAATTGTTTCCAACCATTGGTTTTTACTGCCCTGAGGACCCCAACCAGGAGGTCTACACCTTCCTACGTGGCTTAGACTGACTGTTGTGGATTTCATCGACTGGTGCCATTTTTTCATTTGACCGCCGCTAGCTCTTTACCAGTTTGGCCCTATATCAGCTAACATTGCCCGTTAGTCGAGGAAGACAATAACTAGGCATACGTAGCACATGTCCTAACCATCTCAGTCGATGTAATTTCACAGTTTCGTTGATTGATTTTCCCGCCTTACCTAGCACTCGACGCCTAACCTCAATATTGCTCACCTTATTATACCACTTCACACAGGAGATAGAACCCAGACACCTATGATCGAACACAGCTAATCTTTTCATGTCTTCTGCTCTCAATGGCCATGTCTCACAGCCATAAAGGAGGACGGAGAGGACTGTTGAGCAGTACACACGCCCTTTGGTCGATAGCATATGCATGCAGTCGTGATGAAAAGACGTACTGATGACAACACCTCAAATAAAGAAGCATAGCACCATGTAAATTATCAACTCACAATTCTGTTTAGGTGCTGTTACGTATTTACATAAATCCACATTTTAGATATCAAGTATTTCAATATTCGTGTCTCCGACAGGGAATTGAATTAGTTGGAGTAGTTTTCATCTCGTTTGGAGTGAATCAGAGCCTAACTTGACAATCCCACCATCATTTTTATTTGTCTGGTGTGATAATAACATTTTTGAAGGAATACGATGTGCATGTCGTGTTTCTGTACTTCTCGATTCAACTCTGCCATCTCACAATCACTCCAAATTTCACTACATTGTACTTAACATTGTTACTCAACTAAGGAAATTGTGATTTTGACGGAAACGGGTCATGTTGTTCCACATCAATAATATGCGTAGGGAAAGGAGCAGTGCGGTTATTGTTGGCGTAGGTTTCTAAAGAAAATAACTTCGTCACATAACTATCATATGTACATCTAACGAAGGCAGTGACGCCACTTCTAGATGCGTGATTTTCATTCAATAACATAACAGTGAGACACCTTTTCCAGGAAATTTATGCAGTACGAAGTTATAACTAACTTCTCGATAGAATTGAAAACATTTCCCAATACGCATTTAAAACAAGCAAGAAAGGTTAGTTAATAAGGCAGGATTTAATGAATTCAACAAGTCTCGGGAGAACCCTTCCTCAGCTGAACACTCAACATACAGGGATAAACATACTACTGGAAACACATAGGAAAATATACTACATTGAACTAATCATACAAATTAACAATTGTCTGTCCACGTTGACCGCTAACGTGATTGGTAAATGCTCTTTCACTGCCACCAATACGAATGAGTTAGACGGATTTTCTTCATACAATCAAAACTAGCTCCATTTACTGGAGATATTCGTTAGTTTTCATCCAAGTTAATTTTGAACTGAACAGAATAACAGTGAGCTTCATGAATGCGGGGTTATCTCTCTGCTTTCCACGCCTTACTCTCACTGAGGTCCTAGATGTATCGACGCTTATTTGGAGTCTAGAGTCTAACATAGTACGAATCACAGCCACTGATAAGTCAAATTGTGTTGTACACCTATTTATGTGTATCACTGACCCATCTTATCAATCGACAACCATATGTATTTGGTTAGTCATCCCATACCAGCTATCAATCATTTTTTTTCGGGCGCACTGGATAAAGTGGGACAGTTATCTGTAGTCTGTTGCGAAGTATCTGAAGTGCCCCCGAAGTCTCCCCCAACGTCTATAGTCGTATTCCTCCACAAGTGTTATGTTACAGGCGAAAAACCACGCCCTGTTTACTAGATGAAATACTTGAAATGGCGAATATACCCGCTGTCAAAACTTTATCGACTAACCTTAAAAACGGACACTTTGTCCGCAACGACGTAACAATAGAGCGTGTGACGAACTTTCAAGTTTAAGTTCCCGCGTGCGACAATACTAGTATGCCACCTAACAAAATTTGAATACAGGAAAATATGTATATCTGCACTGCTTGTAGACCATATGTAGAGACTTCAATGTTTGACACAGGAAAACTCAGCTGGTGTATATCTTTGTGGAGTATAATAAAAGGTAACTCCCCCACCAACCCAACTTCATACAGTGTTGCTGCCCATATATCGAAACATCATAATGTCCTGCTTTGTGAATTCATAGTGATATGGAAAATGTGAATAACAACACACTTGTCAGTTCTGCCTTAGTAAGACCCATGCACATTGCGAATCAATGATTCCTCTCTTTCTAACAAAG